TGCAATGAACGGCATCGCCTAGTGTGGGAATCGGACACTCACGGAGACGGCTCGGGGACTTCTCATTGAAGCCGGTCTACCCAATTACTTTTGGCCGGATGTGGTGCGGCATGCTTGTGTGGCCAAGAACAGAGCCTTGACTCACGTGGGAGAAGACAAATGGGTGCCCTATGTGGAGTGGATTGGAAGGAAGCCGAAGGTGGATATGCTTCGGGTGTTCGGGTGCATGTGCATGGCACTTGTGCCTAAGAAACTTCGGCACAACAAGCTTGATGCCAAGGCAACATGGGCCGTGCACCTGGGCATGGCTCAAAACAGCAAGGGATGGCTTCTTTGGGACCCATTTACCAAGAAGTTCTTGGTGAGCAGAGATTGCAAATTCATGGAGAACTTACTGTACAAGGAGTGGAAGGCGGAGAACCAAGCGAAGATTGGTGTGCGGCTTGGAGAGGTGAAGAGTACCAGCTTGGAGCATGTGGAGCTGCCCTTGGAGCTGAGTAGCAGCAGCACTATCACGAGGCAATCTCCCTAAATGAATGGGGATGAGGATGAGGAGGAGGAGGAGGTGCAGCAAGGTGATGAGCGTGCACCGCCACATCCGCCTCATGCTACAAGTGCTCGTGGGAACCGACCAGAGTTACCGCAACGCCATAAGAGCATTCAAGTCCCTGCAGCAGGTGAGGAGGGAAGGGGGAGAAGGAGGACTCAGCCCCCCAATAGGTTGAGCTATGACCGGCTTGGAGGACCAGCCAACTCAACCTTGACCGGTTCGGCTCTCATGCTAGGCGATGATGCGGAAGATGAAAGCAAGGAGTGCTCTTTTGCCTTCTTCTCTCCGGTGGAGATGCCGGGGGAGCCTACAAATCCCAAGGAGGCTGGGGACGGCCCCAATGGGAAGGAGTGGAAGAAGGTCTCAGATGAAGAAATGGGGAGCATCATAGAGAACGAAACGTTTGACTTGGTGAACCTTCCTCCGGGGTGGAAGGCGATCTCTTCCATGTTGCTCTTCAAGCGCAAGACCGACGCCGACAGCAACATTGAGCGCTACCAGAGTAGACTTGTTGCCAAGGGGTATCAGCAGCAAGATAAGAAGGAATACAATGAAGTGTATGCTCCTGTGGTGAAGAGTACAACCCTTCGAACCCTCTTCGCCGCGGCGGCCATCAAGGGATGAGTGGTGAAGAAAATGGATATAGTAACGGCCTTCCTCAACGGCGTTTTGGAGGAAGAGACCTACATGGAGCAGCCAGAGGGGTACACTGATGGAAGAGGGGCAGAGTGTGGAAGCTGAAGAAAGCACTCTATGGCCTCAAGCAAGCCCCTAGGCAATGGTACATCAAGCTGCGAAGTCTTGGAGGCGATCGGCTTCACTCCCTCAACGGCCGATCAATCGTTGTTCATGCTTGGCGAGGGGGAGCAGAGGAGCTTCATGGTGGTTTATGTGGATGACATCCTCATATTCTCACCCTCCTCTGACCTTGTGAAGGATGTGATGCTGAAGCTTCAAGACAAGTTCAAGTGCAAGACCCTTGGTGATGTCAACTACTACCTTGGGCTTCACATTGAGCGAGATGTGGAGAAGCGGTGGATGCGAGTGCATCAAAAGAAGTACTTGGAGGCCTTGGCTGCAAACTTTGGGAGAATTGAAGGTCATGTGGCTACTCCTCTACCCTCGGGGTTCATGTGTATGAAAGGACCAACGGAGGAAAGTGTTGGTGAAGTGGAGAGGCGCCGGTTTCACTCCTTGGTGGGCAGCCTCATGTATGCGGCCGTTCTTACAAGGCCGGATGCAGCCTTTGCTACCGGGCAGCTGGCTAGGGTATTCCAGTCTCCTAATGAAGAGCAAGTAGCAGCTAGAGAGAGATTGGCCAAGTACCTTGGCCAAACAGCAACTGTTGGACTGCAGTACTCCGCGGCGGCACAAAGGCGTCAAAAGGGTGCGGATGGAGTCGAACCCGAGAGGCTCTTCCTCACCGCCTTCTCTGATGCATCTTGGGCATCAGAACCAGAGGATATGACAAGTGTGGGAGGCTTCATCTGCTGTGTTGGTGGAGGCCGAACAGCTTGGGAGAGCAAGAAACAAGTGGACCAAGCATTGAGCTCGGTGCAGTCCGAGTACATGGCATGGAATGACTTGTGAGTCGATGTCATTGCTATCTAGTGCTTGTGTGTGTGTTTGAATGGTGTATCACAATGTGGTTTTTGTCGGTCAAGACATTAGTGTGTTTTCACAACTCGCATGTCGAGTCGTCGTTTGCACGTCGCATGTGCTTTCTCTACTTTGTCTAGTGTGAAGTGTCCATCTCATCGCAGGTGTGTGCAGCAAGCCCTCATCATCTCAAGAAGAATTGATCTTGCTGAACCAAGACCAAGAGCTCAAGATTTCAAGCCAAAGGGACGTGGACAAATATAAAAATAGTGAAAATTGTAATGCTACTTCAAGTAGTGTTACATTTCACTTGGTGTAGCACCTTGTTGGGTTTTTTTCGAGTCTCCTCATGGTTGGGGACTCTGTGGTGGTGTACCACCAACTTGGACCTCGGCTCTTGGGGTATGTAGAGGCTGGGAACCATCCCTACCTCGAACTCTTCTTGCTAAGTTTGTACTTCTAAGGCTATAGTGGCTGCTATACCTCTTGCCAGTCAAACCACCATAGCGTTGTCAAATCTTCATGGAATTTCATGATTCAACTTGATGCGGATAGAAGACAGAAACGCGCTCTAGATACATTTTACAGATCACCGTTTAAGTCAGCGCGGAGATCGTTATCAATATTTGAAGCCGTCTTATGGAAATCCGACTGTGCTCTCTATCTCTCATTATAGGCACATCTGAGCCTATTGTGGTTGTAACAGTTATTGTCGTGGCTCGTCCTTGCTGTCCTGGGGGTGGCTCCAGTGTTGGAGAGGGTTCTCACTCTGGGGGTGTTGGCGTGGAGTGTCCCAGAGGTAGTCGTGGTGGAGCAAGAGGTCCTGGTGTCAACGTGGAGAAGTAGCAGCAGCCGCAGTCGCCACCGGTGTCCGCCCTTCGTCTCCTCGGTCTTCCCTCCCCTGACCACCTGACTGCGCTTCCCCCGTCGCCGCTTTGCCTGCCTGTCTATGGCCCTATGTTTCCTCTGGTGGACTCGTCTCCAGCTCGTCTCCCCCCTCATTCTCCTCCTGGGTCTCCTCCTGTGTCTCCTGGCCGAATGCCTCCGTCCCATTTCTGGTCTCACCGTCCCTCCCTTGCTCGTCCTGTCTCCCCTGTTCAACGCTCTCACCCTATGTTGCTCAGTTCCCACGCGTCTCATCCTACCCTCCTCCTTTATCGTCGTTTTTTGTCGCTCCGCCTCCTCTGTCGGACTACCTTTGTGCTGCTAGTCCTCTTGTTCCTTAGGACCTCGCCTCCCTTGTTATCGACCCGTCTGTTCCTGTCTCGAGTCTTGACGCTCTTGTCACTTCCGTCGCTGACTTCGCCTCTACCCACCGCCTTGACTATGCCACCGCTACGGTCTCTGACCCAGCCAATCCTCCGTTCGTCGGGGGTGCTCCTGCCCTTGGCAGTGACGTCATGGAGGACTGACAGTACAAGCTTGCTTTCCTGCCAGAGGCTGCGCATCATCTCTGCTCCATGCTGCTAGTCCTTGAGGGGGACCCCGACGCCTTTAACATCCTAACCCCTCGCACATACACTTAGGCAAACTCGGGATCCTAGGCCTCTCAGTGGATAGCTGCCATGGACGTGGAGATGGCATCTTGGAGATCCATCACCACCAACGTCGACGCAGTTCCTCCACCTGGGGCGAACGTAATCGATGGCCGGTGGCTCTTCAAGGTGAAGCGCCCCCCTGTAGAGCCGCCGGTGTTCAAGGCGCGCTACACTAGAGGTTTCGGTTAGCGCGAGGGTGTTGAATTTTTCCAGTCCTTTGCTTTGACCCCGAAGATGACTGCTCTTCAGGCACTGCTACACGTAGAAGCACAGCGCGACTACGAGCTGCACTCTCTCGACTTTTCCACAGCGTTTCTTCAGGGCAATCTACATGAGCAAGTCTGCTTGCGTTGCCCGCCAGGCTTTACCGGCACCTTCACCCCAGGGACCGAGTGGCTCTGTCGGCGCCGGTATATGGCCTGCAGCAGGTGCCACGCGAGTGGCACGACACACTGCATGTTACGTTAGCTGTTCTGCAAATCTTCCCGTCGTCTGCAGACCCTTCTCTCTTTCTTCATGCTGACCAGACCCCGTTCTACATCCTTGTCTACGTAGACGACCTGGTCTTTGCTACTTCAGATAGAGATGCACTCGCCTCCGTAAAGTCCAAGCTGCTGAGGAGACACACCTGCTCTGACCTAGGAGAGCTACGGCGCTACCTTGGCCTGCACATCTCCAGGGACGGTGCAGCGCACACCATCACTCTCACACAGTCACACTTGGTTCGCCAGGACCTTCAGATATTGGTTCTCACTTCTTTAGTTCTCCTCCGCAGAGCTCATACCTCTGCCAGTAGATCACACGCTCTTGGCTCTAGTCCTTGAGGAGTCTATAGATCCTAGTGGTCCTTACGCAGAGCTGGTGGGTTGCCTCATATACCTGATGACTTGCACTCGTCCAGATCTCGCATGCCCTCTCCGCATCCTGGCTCGCTTTGTGGCCACAGGCAGACACCGACCACAGCACTGGTCTGCCGCTAAGAGGGTTTTGCGTCATCTAGCAAGTAGATTGGGCATGGGGCTAGTGCTAGGAGGACGCAGGCTGGTGGTCCTTACAAAGCACACAGACACTTCCTGGGCGAACGACACTGAGATGCTCATATCCTCCCAGGGCTACTGCTTTAGCCTTGGTTCAGGTGCAATCTCGTGGAGGTCCATCCGTTCGTTGTCTGTTGCCAAGTCCAGCTGTAAGGCTGAGATCTACGCCGGTGCCATGGCGGCACAGGAGCTCCGCTGGCTGATGTTCTTGCTGGCTGAGTTAGGTGAGTAGCCTAGCTCTGCCCCGGTCCTGTACGCTGACAACAGGGCCATGAT